GTTAAAGAAAAGGGGGGCAAAAATACAAAAGTATTCCCCATTTTCCAAAATTAAAAAAAAAAAAAAAAAAAAAAAAAACTGAGAACCATGCATCCTTTTCCTTCCACTTCACAATTATGTGCTACTTTGTGTTGGTCTTCCCACTAAAATCCCAATAAAATACATGCTACTTTGAGGTCTTAACGCTACAAAGTGTGAAAAAGTTCAAGAGGTGTAAATATGTTTACAAGGCACTTTGTATTTATTGCAAAGAATTAGGACAAGTTCCTGTTTTACACTTTTTTTTCCCAACCTCGCAAACATCAATTAAAGGGGACAAGAAAATAGCTAAAAACAGTACAAAGTCAACATTTGCCGCACTTTGAGACACTTTGCTGCCTAATGATGGATACATGAACATCAATCAGATGTCAGACGCATGTCGGTGGCTCTGAGCAAGAGAGACATTCCCTAAAGACGGCATTAATAAAGAAACTGGTTGAGCCTGGTTGAGACACAAAGACTAAGAGGAGGGGAGGAAGAACGAGATAAAAGACTCTGTTGAGTACATACATCAAAGCCCGCTTAATGACCAGGGATGCCATTAGGGTTACGGTGGCTTTTGTTTCAGCTTTCTCTCACCTGCAGTTTGTTGAGGATGCTCTATGCGCTGTTTTGTTGTGAAAATTTGCATGAATATAAAACGCATGCGTGCAGGGATAAGAGTTGCTTCCCGGCTGCTCGTCTTGGAGGTGGCTGAATGTTTTAGTCAGAATTACAGCCTCCTTTTCATTTGTAAAACAGAGCTGGAACCAGTTTCCTCCCACTTTTTTTTTAAATAATAATAATAATAAAGTATACAGTGAAACAAAGGTTTGCACAGAAAACCAGAAACAGCATGTGGAGTCTGTGATGCGGTGAAATGTATTGTCTTAAAGTTTTCTCTGTGCCTCCGGTGCTGGAATTGGTTTTGACAAATCAGAGCGTGAAATTAAAATGAGCCCCTCTCAGTTTGCACACGAGGTAGGGGCACAAGCAGACTTGGCATGGCCGAAGGTGTGACCCTGTTTTGTTTTGCCCCAGCTTTACTGTCCCAGATGGTGGGACCAGCTGCCGCTGAATAAACGCTGGACCGGGTGCAGTGTGAGAATTACCACGGCCTTGTTTCGGTTTGGGACGCATCACAGAGAGCTTGTCACTTTTTGGCCACCGCCAGCAGGAGCAGGAAATTTCACCTGGTGCTTGACCAAACTTCCTTCCTTTGCAGCGCAGATTTTATATTTATTGTCCATTGTTTTTATTACAGCCACCTTTCATCGCATGAACCGGTGCGACTTAATAAGTTTGTCTTAATGTATTTTACTTCAGCGATTCAATTCAAATAGAGAAACTCATATGTAAAATCATGACACAAAGTGATTTGAAGCTTTTATTTCTGTTACCTTTGGTGATCATGGCTTACGGCTAATGGAAATTCATTTTCTTTGAACGAGAGAAAGGTGAGGCCTACAAAACTTTCTGCAGCACATGAACAGAAATTTAGATAGTGCTATTGATAGGGATTTCTGTGTCTTTCCTCTCTCTTTTATCTGCTTGCATACACATATACACTGACATGCACATGCAATGTTAAGGAAATTGCTTCACAGTGGAACGCCCTCTGTAAGGCATAACTTAGTTAAGGCCTATAATCACATTGTTCAGGGCCACTTTGTGTTTGTCTCTTAAGGACTCTTATTTGCCTTTAATAAATTGGACTGGTGATTTTTTTTCTCTGTTTTCTTTGTTATTCGAAATGTTCCCTCCCAAAAAATAAACCCCAGAGAAACAATTAAAATCAGCAAAGGTCAAAAGAATTTTTTTTTTTTTTTTTTTTGTACATTTGGAGCTTTTTTTTTTAAGTTTTCCCGTGCATGGTGCAGGCAGAAAAAGATGAAAGTTGTTTTCCCGTAGTTCGCAAAAGTTGTGGACCTCAGCCGCCTGTGAGGGGCTAAAATCAGCAAATACTTGAAATACCCTTCAAAAGCTTAGAACTTATAATTTTAGTAATTTACATGCCGAATTTACCTAAACATGCATTAATACGCACATTGAAATTAGTCTTAGCACTACGCCAGAAGTTAACATCTACAGTCTTTCTCCTCACTGTTCTTGGGGGTTCAGCCAATCAGTGCCCAGGAAAATAAATGGCACTCCTGGATTGGCTGGTTTACAAAGGCCAACCAATAGTGTGTCAAGTAGCATTCCACCAAGGTATTTCAGTTTCCCAAGCTGCAATTTATTTAGAAATATAAGTCCTGCTCAATCCAAACCTGACCTTTATTTGAAGACATAATCCTGGACATTTAATAGCCACAGTGAAACATGGTGGTGGCAGCATTATGCTGTGTGAATATCTTTCTTCAATATAAGCTGGGAAATTTGTCGGGCTTCATAGAAAAAAAAAGATTTTAGAATGTACTTTGTTGAATATGAAAGCATTCCACACTTTTCAAATTTGTGCTTATAATAAATGTTTCAAAGCATTTATCACTTTCCTTTCCGCTTTGCAATCACGTCACTTGGTGTTGGCGTAGCTCATGAAATCTCAATGAAGCACACAGAATCGTGCGGCTGCAACGTGACAAAATGCGGAAAAGTTACATTTGCGAGGTGCTGTATAATAATATAACACAGCGTGAGTGAAAATGTGTTGTTGCTCCTAGCCACTGAGAGAAGTAAAACGTCAGAGGCTTGTTACGTCTGTGACATCTCAGTTTGAAGGTGATGTCTTTTTATTGTAATGTTTCCTGAGAGAGCACTGCAGGCAGGAACTTTGTACATCATCACAGAGGGGGCAGAGATTTCCTCTTTAATGCTGGATTAGCGCAGCCAGGGTGGGCTGAGAGGAGGTAAAATGACCTGTCCCGCCTTTACGTGACCCGGGGCCGGCGCTGCACATTGCCATGGCTTTGCTGTTTGCTCTTATGCAGCGAGATCCTGGGCTTCATAGGTTCAGCAGAGAGGGGCCGGGGCGGCAGAAGAGTAGTATCGTGTTGCAGGGAAAATTAGTGAGACCAAAGTTGGAGTTTCTGTGTGTTGGGGGCTGCGAACAATGGCAGCTTTCTGTCAGACAGCGACTTCAAAGGTCTGCTGAGTGACTGCTCTGAGTTATACTTTGTTGTAGATCACTGAGGAAATTCACAGATGTTTTCTCATACGAGACACCATTATAGCGGCTCAAGTACCCAGTAGCCTCGAGCGTCTCTCTCCCTCTTCTCCCCCGTCTCTGTCTCTCCCACACACTCACTCTCACAGCCTCTGAAATCTCTTCCATGAGACAGATGTGGAACCTGTTTTTTTTTTTTTTTTTTCCCCCTCCAACTGTCCAGAGAATATGGAAAGTTAGAAAAGGGTTCGTGTTGTGGCGTTGCCCAACAACTCTTGTCAAATCTGAAGTCCTGGCTGTCAGTCTGCTCCAACTGTCAAGATCTTCGCACTTCCTCACTGGTCCTTTGTGGAACAGAAGTAGAAGTGTGAGCCATGCAGCTGCAGAATGGGAACAATAGTCACAAGTGGTATGATTTTCACTTGTTGTTTAACAGTAATATTGATGCTGCGCTCTTATCTTCTGTTTCTTTTAGGTTGCCTTGTTCTGGAGCAGAACCAAAACCCAACCCATCTGAAGAATACGCGACTCTTACTGTAAATTTTTATTTATTTCTAGGTGTGCTGCTGTTTTTTTATGAGCCAAATAAATATTTTAAAAATCCTGTTGTTTTTAATGATTGTATTTATCATAATGCACTTTATTCCTCTCACGCACATTTCAGGATACATTACACTATTAATACCCATCAAACTTTGCTGCATTTTGTCACTTTAACACATCAACTGCAATAGATTTTAGGGGATTTTTTAAAAAAAAATGATAGACAAACACAAAGTGGTACGTCAGTTTAAAGTGAAAAAATTATCCATCGATCCATCGTCTACTCCCACTTATCCATGCATTGTCCAGCAGTCACTGGGCGAGAAGCGGGGTAGGTCACCAGTTTATTTCAAGGCAACATGGAGACACACAGGATAGACAACAATACACACACCTGTCACTCTTAGGGCCAATTTAGAGAGAATCATTAACCTATGAGTGTTTATGGACTGGAGGAAGTCGGCCCAGGCTGGGATTTGAATCTAGGACCTTCTTGCTGCAAGGCGAGAACAGTGGCACAACACCAAAAACCACATGAAGGTCAACATCTTTAAGAAATAAATATGGAAGGTTTGTGGCGCTACTCTGGTGGAATTTATTTACCAATTGACTTTTTGAAACCAGTTTGATCGCAGAATACTATATTTAAGGCTGAAAACAAATACATGCCACACTTTTTCAGATTTTTTATTTGTAAAAAAAAAAGGGGTTGAAAACCATGCATTAATTCCTTCCACTACACAATTATTCCAATCTTTATGTCCATATTGAAGTCTTTTGACTGCTCCAATCTGCTTTTAGCGTGCTTGCCTTGAGCCTAAGATTTCCTTCCTGCTGTGTGAAATACGAGGTGGCTCTGACTGATCCACATCTTTCAGTACACAAGCAGACAATCAATACCTGTGGGACTTCCTTCATGATCATTTCTTTAATAAATGTCATATATAAAAAAAATATCATAAAATAATTCATGTTATTTTATGTCCGAGAAATGGAAAATGCTCAAGCCTACAAAATAACAGTCTGGAGTGAGTAAATGCAGTGAATCAAGCATATGGTCATTTCTGACAAAGTCCTGCTCAATCAAATTCATCCCTTACCTGGAGTCCTTTTGAGGTGCATTAAAACCTTGGAGATTATATGAAGAGGTTATCAAACGTCTCCAAGAAAGATATTAATATTTATTAATGCTTACAGCTCACAGAAATCACCTATGAGTGAAATTTGTCTTGCATGTCTGGACAGCCTGGATGTACAGCTGATTTTTTTTGGAGAAGTGCACCGGAAATCAAGAGCGTATATGTGCATTTTAATGAATAACAAACAAAAAATGATTTTGTTTTCCAGTGGGCTCCCTCCCTCCGCTTTAACAGTTTGCTGCTTTGACATGAAAGAGCAGATTACTGCATAAGACATTTATCTGACATTTAAACCTCGAAGCAGAAAAACTGACAGCTTGTTGCGGCTCCTACACAAATTTCAGAGAAGATGGGAAAATATGTGATTCTGTTTTCTGAGGCTCTCTCTTATCTTTGTTGAGTCTGAGGACTTGCATACCAGTTTAGCATTGTTGGCTGAAAAACAGTAAACGAAGTTGGAATCAATGCAAACCAGTGGGGAAAAATATAGTAATCTCTGTTTAGAAGTTTTTCAGTTGTGTCACATAGCCACACTTTCACAGCTGCTGTCAATTTAGACAAGACACTGATGTCCATCCACCACCAGAAGACTCTGGACAATAATTTGCACAGGCCAAAGGAGACCCTCAAGTAAGAAATCTAACACATTGACATTAAAATTCGAAAAGCTTCTGCAAACTCCGATTTTTGGAAACTATGTGTATTTAGTAAGTAATATGATAATATTAGTATTGTATAATACTTAAGCACAAACATCACATGACATCCTGAAAACACACCATGACAAGCCTGAAGCTTTGGGTTCAAATTGGGCAAATATGGTGTTTGGAGGTTTTCTCAGCTTAAATACACCAGAAATACTTCAATGATTTCCAGCAAGTTCTGCAGGACTCTGCTGATGCTCCATTCATCTAAATCTAACAAGTTCAAGCAGGGAAGTTTCTAATATGTACAGAAAAGCATCTCTCATGACCACGGACTGTTTTTTGATGAAACTTTTGTTTTTTGTTTTTTACAGTACCTTTCAGAGACTACCAGGTTGTACATGTTTTAAATGAACAAATGTGTATCTGTAGGACTTCACAAAATAAGTTGTTAAAATGTCAACTGAAGAGGAATATTCTGCCTTCTTTGTATTTAGGTTGATGACATCATGAAAGGTACAAGAAATTATGGCTTTTTTTGAGTTGTAAGCTCAGGTTTATTTTAAACACGATCCAACTTATTTAAAATATTAGGAAGTCACATTTTCATAGATTACATTTCTTTCCATGTTTAAAATAGAGTAGGTAGAAGAACTTACTCCTACCCCACTTTTGATGGATTTCACCTAAATTTGGAGCAGCAGGGGGTTCAGCTTTTAGTGTCTCAGCCAGAGTTTGCCTCCAAAGACGGACACAGTGATGCACGGACAACCTCAAGCGAACAATGACGATGACTGTGATCATCTTTAAAACTTTTAACTTGTGGAAACCTGTTTTTCTTGCATATTTTAGTAACAAATAATGACAGGGCACCTTTTTTATTCTACAGTAATCCCCTCTTATCTAGTTAGATTTTTGAAATACATTTAAAATTGATGATAAAGCTTAAAGCATTGTGCATCCCAACTTGGATAAACTTTAAAAAATAATGGTTGACTGTGACGCCAAAACAAGGACTTCCTTGTTTGCTGATTTTTATTTATTTTTATTTTTCAACACAAACGAGAAACTGCATCTGCCATAGCTTGATGTAAACAAGGCTGATCTTCTTGTTTTTCACGTCTTCTGCAACTAGCATTGTAGTTTAACAAGGCTCCAGTGCAGCCCAGCAGGACCCCCTCTCCCACCCCTTCTCCCTCATGACTGTGTGTAAAGCCGTGGGAGAGGACTGGGAACATTAATCCCTTCAAAGGAACAGATCTAATTCAAAATCTGCCGCTCCAAACTAGTTGAGAGGACAGTGATTGTTTCTGCAGGGAAGCTAGATAAAGATCAGAGAGCTAACTGCAAACTTCCAATTCTCCACTTCTGCCACAAAAGTTTTGGGGTGTTATCTTATGAAAGCTGCATAGTTGTACAGTCATATTATTTGAAACAAAACAACAGATATGATAAAATAAGCAACAAAAATGCACAAACTTAAGGGATAAAATGCAGTGCATTTACATTTACGTCTATCTAGTGGTTGTTGTGCTTCCCCTTTGAAATGCCGCCCTGGGCAACTGCCTGTTCCATATCAAAACCACCATTGCTTGCACCAAACCTATACAAGTAATTTACTTGGATCCATCATTTAATCTATTTCCTACCCTTATGAATCCCATATGTATACTAGTAAATATTTGGATATGTGCCCTATATACATTTTGCTCAGGTTGTTGAAGCTAAGTGGGCCTCACATCTACTTCCTGTATGGGACCCATTTAGATTGATTTAACACTGTAAACAAAGTATCATCAATACCAATTGAGTACCTTGTGTGGGCCTTAACTGGCTCTCAAATGGGTTCAGATTTTAGAAAACATCTAACACCAATGGGTCCCTTTTGTTTAAACCACAAATGTCCTGCATTAGACCTTAACGAGCAGTTAACGTCGGACCATTATGTAACCCTCGGAAGATTAAATCTTAGGTCCATCATGTAACTCATTTCTATGGACCGGAGCTTCAAGTTGAATTACCAGATGTTCGTTTTTTTGTGTAGGTTTTTATTGGTATTGTAAATTGTATTGCTTAATAAACTTTGAGTATGATTCTGTTCACATAAAACAAGTCCTCATCCCACAATGATGTAACACCCCAGAGCCTTGATGTTACAAAATCCTGCTCTATCATGGATTTAATTTGCTCCATAGCTTGTGTTTCTATTGCTCTATAGCAAACTATGCCGTTTTTTTGTTCAAGGAAATTCAGCTCTTATCCTCAAGAGTGACAAAGAAATATAATTAAGAGATCTGAGTGAAGCCGTTTTGTTAAACCTGTGAAAGTTACTTTTCATTAACTTGCTTTCTTCCCTGTCATGTTGTAGGTCCCACATGAATTCTCCACAAACCGGACGGATAAGAGTGTCTCACAACGTGCTTCTTGAATGGGCCATATGGAAATACTGACTGGGAGGAAATCTGTTCTGGAATAGATCCCAGGTTAGATTGTGTATGGGGTCTGTAAAGGCTGAATTCAGGACAGTTCTGCATAAAAAGTGGGACTCATATGGACCTTAGTTGCATTGATCTCATTAGCCTACCAGCTAAGATATAAGATTGCCAAATGGTTTTGCTGATATAAGTTGTAGTTTGCAAACAGATCATTCTCGTAAAGGCCAAATTATAACCTACCTAGCCTAAGTAAAAAAATCTTATGGGGCCTACATCTAGGCCCCTATTATGGGCCCCATTTATCAGTGTTGGCTGGGTAGGGATGTTAACTTGAATTAATGTTGTAGGCTCCTATTGTTAGTGCAAATTTCATTGTTTAATTAGGATAGAAAAAAATCCCTCTAAATTAGAATTAGCATGTGATAAAATAGATGACTGAAAAAAATAATAATTCAGAGAGGATATAATTAAGTGTTTAATGCCAAGCTACAGTTCAAAGGCATAACAAAAGGAAATCTGGATTCAAATTAAAAATGTAAAAGAGAGGCAGATTCTTCAGAGATGAGAACTTCATGTTGAGTCACTTGATTTTGGTCTTTTTCCCTCCATCAAACAACGCAGCCAAAACGCTCTTGGAGATCTCCAGAGATAACAATGTCACATTGTCACATAAGGTTCTGCTACAAATCCTTAATTACAAAAAGAGGATCAGATGACTACAGCATCCAATACCGGGGTCTCCAGGCGGCATGGAGGTCTTTGATCAAGAAAATCCAATTATTTGTGTATATACATTTCCCACATAGTGATTACTTCATTAATTGTCCCGCCTTTATCTCCTCC